ATGATCTCTATCAGATTATTATAATAAAGAAAGCAGAAGTTGAAAGTGAGCCCACAAAGGAATCTCGTACTCACAAACTGCCTGGTTTTAGGAATTGTTTTCCATGACTTCACATGATTTTTTTAATTACCAAGCCTGTGAAATAATAAGACAATCTTTATTCAAGTCCCAGAAGGAAACCCAGGAATATGCAAAGCAAATTTATTCCGAAAAGCGACAATAGCACCACTTTGCCAGATAACATCAACGAAACGTCTCTGTTTTCATAGGCGTCCTTCGAGAATTCGTCGTTTCAGCCCTTGAAATGTTACTGAATTGTCTACCAGGGTAGACACGACAAACCGCGGAATATTCCCAAAGGGTTTTCAAGGTCCAGACTGCGTGCTGATCAGTCCATCAAAGCCTCTCCATTCCTCTGGAATCATTCCAGCACAGACTTGTCTTCTTTTTTGGAAAGTAATCCTTTCTGAGGTCACCGTCGAAGAAATGGTAGTAGGCGATATCCCAAAGTGGTAATCCTCTGAACTGAACAATCAGCTGTAAGGCTGCGCTTATACTTTGCGGCAACGTAGCGTAGCGTCCGCAAGAGCTTTCGTTATCCCCAGCACTGCAGCCATCGCCTTTGAAGGATCAACAAGGAAAGACCACCGGCGGGTCTTTCCATACACCCTTCTAATAGTATGCAGTACCATGTAAGCCAATGAAATCAAATTTCTCTTCACAGTAGAGCACCTGAAGAGACAGTTACGATTTCACTGTAAAAAGAGTTCGCTGAACGAAGCCAAGCCTCAGTCCATTCTGCCAGTGGATTTTTTTGGCGTAGTTCGGCGAAGGGGCAAGGGGTGGGTAGTACTTTCCCATTCGCTGTTTCTCAATGTCGTGTTCATTGCTTCACAAGAGTTGCCGAGTAGTTTCTACAAACGTTGACTGGTATCATTTATAGCTTCCACAAATCTCCAATTGATGGGTAGTCACAACAGTAGGAAGTAGCGCAAGTGCAGGATGCCATCCCCATCCCCCCCCGTCGCCGAACTGCGCCGATTGTTCTGTACGAAATCTGATCAAGCTCTTTTTCTGGTCGTCTCCTCTTCCTCATTTCATTAGACTCCATACACTAAACCCGTGATATTCAAAGTGTTTAAGTGGACGAAAAATCCAGTGTGGGTGCTCGTTCAGATATCCTGTTATTTTTCACCGACACTAAAACATAAATACTAGTAAGGTCAATGAAAACAGTTCGGATAACCTGGCAGTTTGCGAGCGCTATTATTTTCTGGTGCGCTTCTCACAGGTTGGAACAGATGTCTTTCTGAAGCTGGAACATCTTCAGTTTCGAGGAGATATGTCCTTTCGTTTTGCATACCACTGTGTAGCGCATGAAGTAATCGCGAATTGGAAGACCGTTTGACAATGCGTTCATACCTCTCAATTACACTCGATTCTAGAGCATTGAAAATCGCATGTATTAATCCCATCAGTTCGCGAGATGCGTATCGCTGACGGTGGCTTTGGAATGCCAAGTCAAGGAGTCGCGCCTGCTCGCGGGTTCGCATGTATCGAGCGACTGTTCGGTAGGTATGAACACACTCTAACATGAATGATCAATGCACTAGGCTCAACAGTGTAAGCAGTCAATAAAGTGATCGAGTCGTTTAACATAGTGTGAAATTTTTTACATTTTCCCGAATACGAATTTTTGGAATGTTTTCATCGACGTTATATGTACATATTCAAAAATCAAAAAAGAAACCGAAAATCACTAGAGATCATGTGCTACCAGCCTCAAGGTGCAGAATTTCCGTCCGCGCATTTGTGTTCATACTTAGGGCGAGCCCCTGCTAGTCTCCGCCCCCACCCCATGGGATAACTCCGCCAACACCCTGTCGTGTTGGCATGGGCACATGGATAAGAGATTTCAGTGGGTATGGAAGATGCCAGATGCTACTGGGGAAGGGATCCTCCATAGAGTGATAAAAATTTCCTGGCATCGTATATATCGCTCAGAGAGTCGCGATTCTTAAACAAACTAGTCTAAAATTGCTTGGATAAACACGGCTTCGCGGGCGACAGCGTTATGTTCACTCTCGAAGGACCTCGAACTGGGGATAGTGCCAGGGCTCTAGAGCCCAACGAATTCACCCTAATAACTGTGCACCAACCACTGTCTTCGTCGCTGTCTGACAGTTCATCGTTTGACTCGCTTTTACTGCGAACCGACGAAGATGGACGGTCGGTGGTTACGCCGGGAGGCTCAGAACGAGAGGGTGACACTCGAGGTGCCGGTGGAGAAGGTGCCACAGGAAGTTCCGAACCGGAGGTGATCTGGAAAAGATGGGATAAATTCAGGAGAAGTTTTGTCGCGAAATCATATCAAACTAAAAACCTTCATCGGCGGCTCCGATTTAGTAAACTTCCGTGGAAGTGTCTCAAGACGAATCTCATGGATTGGTGGAGGTGGAGAGGGTGAAATTTCAGGATCTCGCTGGAAAACAACAAGTTACTGGAAATTTCCAGAAAGAGCAAAAATGTCTGCTTTTCCTACCTTCTCGTCCGTCCTATTAGCCGTCGAGGACCGTACCGTCGTAGCGTCCGAGATCATGAAACCATTTGACACAGGTGGTGAACCGAACAGGTTCAATGTCCCTTGCGATGCCATCGACGCGCCAAACGATTTTTGTGATACGGACTGGTCAATCGATATGGTCTCCTGAGAAAAGCTTCTGTTTTTTGTCATTTTCTCAGAAATGAGAAGTGATGCGAGTTCAGAGGCAGGGGGTAATATGGCTGGGAACGGGCGGTTACTACAACGTCATTGGGGGAAGGGCTGAGTGCAATCAAACGCCTCTTACCACCAATGACGCTGGCAGTGACCGTTTTACCCTAACCCCGCATCGTTGCTTTTAAAGATTTTAATGGATTCTTACTTGCCAATCTCGTAACCGGCCACTTCTCCAGCCGTAACTGTCGCCGAGTGGCTGGAAATTTGACCGAACAGTTGGACCACGAGATGCCGGATCGATGTACTGGAAAAGGTGTCTTGAGCCAACTATTCCATTTTTTAGCTCGTTTGTCACTCGTACCATGTAGGTATTCTCCCGTCTGGGTGGAGGCTTATTTGAAGGTGTGGGTGGAGGTGAGTCCATGAACTGTGCGGTAGTGTACTCCTGATGCCATGCAGAACCGTCGAATAACGAAGAAATAGTCTGGAAATGTGAGGGCTCATGGTGCAGAACGACATACTCTGTAGCTACCATGTGAGTGTAGATAGGCCAGAGCCAGCCACTCGGTACCCTCGCACTGTGTAGCATATGTAAAGGTACATTCCATATGCTGCGTAGTATGGGGAGCACGAGCCCAGGGACATTTATTCAGGTTGGCTCAATAAGTAATGCCATATTTTTCAATTGAAAATTCTGTGTCGCACAAGTGCAAACATTGTGCAAAGCAAGTTTATAATATCATCTGATAGGAACACTTCTGCGTAGTATAAGATATCACAACAAAAAGCTTTGGTTGCAGGATATACGTTGTTTGTGAATTTTTTCAGTCGTTGAAGTTGAAAGTGAAGTCGGCGAAAATTAGCATCTTCGACAACTGCCTCTATTTACGTCTACTCGAAGTGCTAAAATCGCTTAAGCTGCTCCATACATTCGGAAAAGGTTGAGGTAGAAGTCTCAGCAAGGGAATCTCAATAGGACGCTTTGGAACTAATTTCAAGAAATTCAAAGTTGGCAACCTTCACCTTGCCAATATTGGGCAGGCTCACGTCTGTTCCACCTGAAATTTCATGCTAATAGTTGAATTAATGCTTGATCAATATTGCGATATTCTAATACTCATGAAGAAGTTTGGCTCATTAAATGCATATGATAAGAGCTTTGCTTGGCAAGGAAATTTTACTTTTGGAACAAATTTTCGCTTGCAAAAAAACGGCCATTCACTGTGATGTAGCCAGCCACTGCTTAGTGGGCTGGCTAAATCACAGTAATGCCGTGTTTTTTTCAATCGAAAAATTGTTTCAAAAGGTGAATAAGTTTTTGCAGCAACCTTAATAGTCCGTTTAAGTAGCAACCTTCTCTGTAGTCACATTAGGAATCATCAAATTCAAATTCAAAGTGCAATTCAACACATTAGCCATCATAAATTTAATATAGCAGGCGTTGTGAAAGATGCTAATTCTTCCAGCGAACTTCAGCATGTCCACACTTCAACAACTGGCATACACACACCCAGTTTGCAACAATAACCGAAAAATATGCCTCAACCAAAGCTTTTTGGATATTCTTATGCGTAGGGCAGAGTTTTCTATCAGATGCATACATAGGAGTTGCTGTGCAACACCTTTTCCACTTTTCGAACAAATTTTTCTATTAAAAAACGGTCATTACTTCATTAGCTCAACCTAATTAGCTACCCGGCCAGCAACGCCCCCATACCCCCGGGAAGTGAGTCTCGCGTGCCCCATGACAGATGGAAGACGCATGGCTCCTCAACTGGCAATGTGAAAGCCTGGGCTCCGCTTGTTACATGTATAGTGTAGTTCGCGGGCGGACGGCTGGCGTGTCCAGTCCCGGCGGGCTGCGTTTGGCTTTGCGATGCCAACACTGCGTGTCTACCAGCAGGTGTTGGCAGCGGGCTAAATCACAATCTGTATCGTATCCTTCGCTATTACTCGTTTTCTACCACTTTTTGTCGCATGCGCTCTTCAACAGCTTTGATAGGGTGACACACTCATACTGGCTGACACGCCCAACCGTCCGCAGAGAACTAGAGTGTATTTCTTGGTTCGAACTTACCTTTCCACTTTGTCTAATCTTCACGGTAGCTAAAATGGCTCCGATCAACACTGCACAAATAGGTGCATTGACTAGTGTCCATGCCACGTATTCACTTGCTTTTGGTACATGACTCCCAAAAAATAGTGGGAGTTCGTGCTTGCCCGCATGGGAGATCATGAGAACCTGGAAAGAGCAGAAGTTTTTATTTATTTGTTTGCTTATTACAAGAATGCTCTTTGTCAATAGCTTCGTTCACCGTTCCGGGAGAGAAAGCATGGTTGTTTTTGGCAAGATGCGGTCTACCCAGAACAACCATGCCTTCTCTCTGGGGGCAGGGGGGGTAATGGTGTGCCGGCCTTTTCCTACTGCGTAAGCTCTACCTGAATAAGTAAGTATTAGAAGCGTCAGCCATAACAGCGTCGGCCTGGTAAGTGGGTGAAGCGATGCCCATAATGCCGAAGTGAGTGATGCCTGTTTGATTAGGGTCAGCTTTTGTGACGCGCGATTGTGGAGTCATAGTACGGAGGTGGAGGCTGACGTTAGGCAGTAGTTTCTCCGAGTTGGAAAGGAAACCACCTTCATCTCTACCGTGTCAGTAATAGTTCTCTCATGCAGCAGGTCAAATTGCTTTATGGGTAGTGGATCTGGTTGTTCAGCTGTTGTCACAGTTAGTCTTTAATGTTATACGACCTTGTGGATTGGCAATAGAGGGTTACTATAAAAGAAGTTGATGTGCGAGCTGACAGATCCGGTCACCATTATGCAGTTTTGCTTTCAGCTACCACGTTGACAGTGCTGAGTGTTCCAAATCGAAAGAAGGGAATGAAGATATCGCGATTGGAGTTGTAATGGAATTGAAATTCGGAAATGGTATTCACTCACAACAAGGAAGCACGGGCATACAAGGGCCCAGGAGACTCGGATAAATGCTCCACATGGTCCGAACAACTCAAGGAGTTTCTCCTGAAGGCGTAAGTGTGCCCACTTTGCTTTACTTCTCATTGGAACGCGTAGCATTGACGAAACATCCGACATGAATTTGTTGAGTCCTAAAAAGAAAGCATCAATCGTGAACTCTTGTTACATACGCGTAAATTTTACAATGAGAAATATTTATACAGTAGATTAGTTGCCCAGCTTCTCTCTTTATGAAAACCTGCGGCATTATTTGTGAATCTTTCAAGGTTGTAATTATTCTGCAAAGAGTGGTTAGGTGGAAGACTTTACTTGAACTTGCTGACGTCTTCGTCGGGTCGTCTCAGAGGGCAGCATCCACCACCACATTTTAATAAGCGGAACGATCCAATCACAGTTAGTTGAAAACTAACTACAGGGGGCCAAAAAAAAGTCACTTCGACCGAGTCACATATCAGCAAAGTTTTCGCTGCCCAGACAGAGGACGTGGATACGAGTACCAGGGCGGAAGATACCCAAGATGTTCCTCGATAAGCAGGAGCTGGCTCTCGCCCATCAGCTTCATGTACACCAAAATATGAAGTCATCTCCAGTAGCAGTCTGACTGGAGAAGACCTTTGAAATTCACGTCACCTCCAAACAGCTGCGAAACTTCTAGTATGGAGTCACCCATGGATAGCTACCTGGAGACCAGTACTCTCGATCTGAACTCCAACTTCGAGTAGTCCGCACGTCGCTACGGTCTCACGACATCATCTTGTGCACCTCAGTCGCCCAAGCAGCCATGGATGTGGGACCGGGCGTTACCTGGAAATGGAAAGACCGATATTTTCTTCGGTGACCCCAGACTGAGGTCGAGCGTAGACGGTAGCATCAAGGCAATCGTGAGAAAAAATATCCTCCCTACAGGTGTCGCCCGTAACCTTCTTTGGAACTTTTTGAGGGCCACCACATGGAATCGGAGAGCGTTGGAAAAACTGTCGGCTCACTTAGAATGGAAGGGCGTTGAGTACCTGAAGGAGATGGAATATTCCAAGTAGGTCACCTGACCTGAAACTCCCTCAATTACCCGGTTTGGGCGGAGTTCAACAGGGGTCTACGGTGGACGGAGAAATCGAACTATTTGCGCATCTCGGCACCACATTTGCGGTCTCAGGCACCACAACTTGCCAGAATCTCACGATGGCGCTCGTCCAGAAGGCTGTGGCGGAGTGTCATGATAGTATTTAATATGCTCTTCAATATGGTGGTAAAAATGTCGATCAGAATTCAATAAAGTGTAACTTATTTGCGCCCTCGAAAGTCATGGAAGAAAAGCTGGAGCTTTTTTAATTGCTTCCCCCCCCCCCCCCCGTGCTATACCACATAACGACTGAGTGTATCGTTCCCGCCTCTGTGTGTGGTGGACTGCCTTGAGCGACGATCCGTTAAAACGTCAGGCCAAGTTCATTAAGTTTCACTACCAACCTTCTGTGGCAGAATAATTACAATGAGAATTATACACGGATATTTTTGTTGAAGAACCCTAGTGTTGTAGCGTTAGGTGCTTACGTACAATAACAAATGGCGATCAGTACCAGAAATGATAAAATCAACGTCGGCAGTTTAGCGATGAGATTATCCATCGAATGAAACAAGAAAAATCCACCCTAAACACTTTTTTTTGAATCGAAAAGGTTGTTCAGCAAAACAACAAATAAACAAAGTGCACTCGCAATTCGGTTGCAATCCACAATTCTTGCATGAGATCGAAGGAAGCGCGCTCTTATGAAAAACACTTCGTGGTAGGAAGTTCAAATTGTTGAGCCAGCCCCGGCGGATTCTCCAGCAGTTCTACTCAGTATCTACACCGAAGCGATTGGACGATCGAATGGGCGTCGAAAAAGCCTCTGTTTTGAAAAGCGTACTGGCACTGGGGGGAAAAATGGGAGAGGGGTGGGGGAAGAAAGGAAGTTGGTATTACGGCCGTATAAGAAAGTTTTCGTCATTGACTTCTTCCTATTTGGATGTGCTGCTACCCCTTCCCCCATAGTCAATGACGCAGACGATTTTACTTTTTGTGATAATTCATCAAAGCTGTCTACAGAGGTGTGCCCCAATGCTCAGCGGATGTTGGTAGGCCGTTCTGGAGAAGAACTTTTCGACGCCATCCTTGACCCCAATGCCGCGCTGACAGCTTCCACTTCTCCCCAGTAGCCCTTTCAACAGATACCTCTCCTTTAACATCTGCTTGTTCCGGTGGGCGTAGCATGCGGTCTAGGGAATGGTGACAGTCCACCAGATACTACCGAGACTGCAAGTGGGAATGTACACCATGACATTGCAAACCATGTAATAGTGGCATTTCCCAGAAATAACTACTTTCCTTGTTTGATAAAAGTGGAAGGGAGCTGTTAGTGTTTTCCTGAAGTCTCCTTCACCTATCCTGCGGTTAAATTTACATTTTTTGCGGTTATGATGATTCTCAAGCGGATGCGATTCGGAAAACAACAGGTTGCTCACACTGACATTGGCAGCGAGCAAAATGGCAAAAAGAGGTGACTTACACTGGTGCAGATAGGTACTTCCACTAGAAATCCTAAACAACAGATGGCGGCAATAAGACGTGAGTTAAGGCGGCGATTCCTTGAGTCAAGTATGTTCATCACGGATGATGCCAGCATCTCCACCCTAAAAGTGCCCTGTATTACTCGTTTTTTTTTAGTCGTATGGTATCCCATCAGGCTCCTTTCGGCAGTGTTTTGGGAAGCATTTTTCGAACTCCTGCACAAAACACACAACTTTAGCGCAGAAATTCTCTCCCCGGTAGCCACCAGCTGGCACCCCTAGCTCGTTCATTTCGCGCTCGCCTGTGCGTGACAGCGCACCCTCCCTTGCTGCTCACTACAGGTAGTACAATCGCCTTAATGGGGATGGGGAATGCACTATTATTATACAAACATCGTTCTGGCTTCTCTGAGAATCAGTCTTCTGATCCACTCTTCACAGCGTTCTAGAGAGAAGCAGCTTTTGCGCAGCTCTGCCCGGTTATTCCGCGGTTCTTGCCGCAGAGGAACGTGAAGGTCGATATCTGCCAGAAGCTCTTCAACTGGGAAGGAGCGACGACTTGTGCAGACTTCACAATTACTCAAGATGTAAAGTAGATCTCATACAAAAACCGAGACAGGGAAATGAAGTGGCTGCCCTTGGAGCAAAGCAGGAGCTCGTTCCGAAGCGAGGTTGCCCTGCCAGAAGCTCTACCGTTTTCTTCTACTCCACTGCTCCATCTAATATACGATTCTCCCTGAGAGTACTGCTGTAGCGTAATCAAAATTGTGTGAGCAACTACGAGAACTAACGTCCCGAGCCCCAGTTTCATCAGTATGGGGGCATATCCAACATCGTCATGGACAACACCCAAAC